GACCTTTCTCAACCTATGATCGAGACTTCAGTAATAATAATTGTCCAGTCCGTTTTAATAGTGGATGGTGGTTTCTAGACGACCCTGATTGTAGCAAGGCTAACGTGTTTGGTAAAAGGAATGATCCACGGTTTGCGTATGAAGCAAACACTCACTGGTTTAAAGTTCTTGGAAAGAATACTGCTTTCTATCAAATGCAATTTATGCTACGCAGAGTTTAGTCAAGGGAACCCTGTCAACTTAACCAAGGTATTCTTTTAAATACCTAACGCTAAGGAGGAAGACTTTAAAGTCAGCTGCGATTGTTCAGATAATCCGTCGAAACAACAACTTTGTGCAGCTACTTTCCGTATCAGCCTAAAATGTAGAGCTAACCTACTGGGATTGTTCAAATAGTTCTACTCAGAAACCATATCAGCATTCATAATTTTGAAGCTATTTGTCGCAGACTTATAGCCCCTAACTTTGACAACCACAATTCCAAGCTGATGGACGATTATTTATGTCAACACTTTGTTTTTTTTATTTAATCGATGTTTTGTTGAAAAAAACCCCCATCATATTGGTAAATTACAGATACATTATTTCAGAGCTTAATCTACCTTTAATATAGAGCGAAGCTTTAAAGCATCGCGCGAAGCGCGGTGCTTGAGCAAAGCTCTTTTCCGGTAACACAGGAGCGTAATTGAAAATGTCACCCACAGACTGTTGATTAAAAAAAAATTCAGACAGGAACCGGATACACTGGGGAAAACAGGCAATGCGCATGTCTGTCAATGCGCATGTCAGCGCATGTCAACTTACCAAATCTCGCCCAAGCGAGATTTTGGGTCTCTAAGAAATATTTCTATGACGCGTCGAATAAATGACGTCAGATAATTTTGACGTCAATGAAAATCCTCACACCTTTTTGTTCTTTTTTCAATTGGGGAAACTTTATTATGAAGGTTTTATTTGACAACAATCACATCAGCTTCGCTCTACTCAGGCAAGGCCTGTTACATATTATAGAGCGAAGCGCGGCGCTTGAGCAAAGCTCTTTTCCGGTAACACAGGAGCGTAATTGAAAATGTCACCCACAGACTGTTGATTAAAAAAAAATTCAGACAGGAACCGGATACACTGGGCAAAACAGGCAATGCGCATGTCAACTTACCAAATCTCGCCCAAGCGAGATCACCTAACTAACAAAAATAATTCTACACACCAAATCTCGCCCAAGCGAGATTACGCGCCTCATAGAACTATTTCTATGACGCGTCTAATCAATGACGTCACATATTTTTTACATCAATGAAAATAATTCTCACACCTCTTTGTTCTTTTTTTAAAAACAAAATTAATGTATAAAATTTAGATCTAAATAAAAATCACTTTTGAAAAACTAAATTATTTAACATTTTTTGTATCACTTGAGAAAATTAATTTTGAAGGTTTTATATTTGACAATAATCAGCTTCGCTCTACTCAGGCAATGCCTGTTACATATTATGAGAGAGAGGGAGAGAGAGAGAGAGAGAGAGAGAGAGAGAGTGATTTTAACGTCCACTCAACTAACATATGGTTCCATTTTGATTCCCTTAATTCGTTTGCCCGTAGGGGTCTTTAGCAGTGGGAGGAAACCGAACCGGGGGACCCGGAGAAAAACCACGAGGTTGGACAGGTGACCCTACTCCTTGTCACGTACAACCGGTTAAATCGAAATCACGCCAGTTGAATTAATGAAAGACCTAATGATACAGCGCGCACGCACTAATCATACGCCCATCCCCCGCCCCCTGCCTTTAACATGCACGGGCATTTGAACTGATTAGAATAAATCTTCTTACTACTAGCTGCTTGACTATATACTACAATAACAACAATGGAGTGAAATGAACTGAAATGGGGTTTAACGTCCTAATATTTGTTCTGCTCCTATACTGGGCTAATGAAGACGGGCATACGCCATACAATGTCCTATGAGGGAGATTTTAACCGGGCAGTAGCGCTATGGCCTACTCATATATCGAATTTCAACTGGTTACGCCAATGTGTACACGGGACCTCGGGTTTTCGTACCACCCGAACGACTAGACACCACTGACTAGTGGAAACCACGCCGGAAAAACCCGATTAACTTTCTAGGTCAGCACCGGGATGGAACCCGCGACCTCCAGGCTAGCGAGCCAGTGTCTTACTCACTTAGCCACCGCGGCTCCACAATAACTCTTTCAAGATGTTTCGTCTTCTATCATCTCAGAATACTCACTAGTTCTAACATTCCCCTTCGCTTTTATTACCAACGAGACTTTATTTGATCATTATACAGCTTCCAATGTAATTAAATTGCTCATGTTACAGCGTTATTAACTACACATCAAACCTGAAGCGCTCTCACTTGGCAATTAACAACTTCGTTGAACCGGAAGTAACACGAAATGAAGGTCAATGACGTCGCATTGGGGAAGCCAATATTTTTGCTTGGTCGAGCAGACAGGTAAAGTGATAACAAATTAATATGTCATTTGAGAAAAAGATATTTTGCCTGCCATTTAGTCGGCAAAATGAAGTGTACGAAATAAAGTCGCTCTTCAAAACATGAAGAACACCTTTTTCATGTCTGAATCCTGATCCCATACTATGGCGTCCTGTGTACATATTGGCATGCACATAAAAGATCCCTTAACAGTTGGAATTCGATATATGAGTTGGCCGTAGTGCCGCTGTTCGGGTAAGATTTTCCTCATGGCACCGAGTATGGCATATGCACGTCTTTGTTAGCCCAGGTCGGATCAGAACAGTAGGATGTTGAACCCCATTTCATTTCATGTCCAGTCCTTTGTTTGTGATGCCTATGTCAGAAACCGGACGTGTCAGGTTTTGGCCGATATCTGCTATGATAGATTTTTGGGGCATCTATAATTAGTTGTTTCATTAATTTTTCAGAAACTGTTATTTTTTAAAATTGACTAATGAATTTAAAACATTTGAAATCAGTGTAAAATAAGTGTCTAATGCCAATCTAGGGTAATTACTCTGCTTTATGCCGGGGGGGGGGGGGGGGTGGGTGGATGGTGAAGTGGTTAGCACGTGCGCGCTGTATCATAAGACCTGTCATTGAGTCAACTGGCGTGGTTTCGAATCCCCGGTTGTACGTGACAAGGAGTAGGGTCGCCTGTCCAACCTCGTGGGTTTTCTCCGGGTTCTCGGGTTTCTGCCCACTGCAAAAGACCCCTATGCGCAAGCGAATTATTGAAATAAAATTAAAACCATATGTTAGTCCCGAAATTACCTAGTTTGTGTCGAGTGGACGTTAAACCCCATTTCTCTCTCTCTCTCTCTCTCTCTCTCTCTCTCTGCCCGCATTTTTTGTTTGTATGCACAAACAGACAGACAGCAGCAACACGATGACGTCTTCTTCATAGCATACTGTATGGCGTATGCCCGTCTTCATTAGTCCAGCCGGAGCAGAACAGTGGGCGTTAAAGCCCATTTGATTTGATTTCATTTCATGCTTTCAGGAGTGCTGCTTGTTGATTATCAGTGTATTGGCACAGTCCATTGTTGGGTTCAATCTTTACATACATCCACATCGTTCCAAAAATTCCCGCTGCGGGATGAACGTGACAAGGAGTAGGGTCGCCTGTGCAACCTCGTGGGTTTTCTCCGCGTCCTCTGGTTTCCTCCCACTGCTAAAGACCCCTACGCGCAAGCGAATTGTTGAAATAAAATTCTACCATGTGTTAGTCTCGAAATGACCTAATTTGTGTTGAGTGGACGTTAAACCTCTCTCTCTCTCTGCGAGGGAATCCTGCGGCGATATGTGTCGTAATTGATTGTTTTCATTTTATAACCCAAATGTTTTAGAACATATTTTAAGACAGGGAGTTTTAATACACGGATAAGTAAGCGAAATACAGTTCAATTTAAAACGTCTACGTGGTTGTACATTAAGGGAGATAACTCCTTTATTTCACCCAAGTAGCCAATCTGCAATTAAACCTCCTGCCCAAACAGTGAGTTAGTGCTAAATGATAAGTCAATCTCAATTTATCGTCATAGGTCACGAGATGTAAACAAGGCTGGCGCTTATCCCAACCCCAACCCCAACCCTTGACCTAGCCCCAATATTTTTTTTAAAAATAAAACTAGGAAATATCGCGAACCAAATTTACATCATCCTAGGTCAGTGTTTTATGTGGAGACTTAACCTCTCTCCCAAATTATTAACCCTAACCTACAATCTTTCCTAGGCCAGTGTTTATGTGGAGCCTTAACCTCTCCCCCAAATTATTAACCCTAACCTACAATCTCGCCAACAATCACGTGCCCTAACCTTATTTACATCTCAAGCGACCCTGAGCTGGCCTTAACAAATAGATTCAGCCCAAAACAGCGTGTGTGTAGGACGGGTAATATAATGGTACTTATTAAAATTATCAGATGTTTCAATACTATAGCTGACCTATTTGTGTGATGCGTTATAAAATTAGACAGTGTCATTAAAGTAGCTAAGCCTATAACTCAATATCATCCAAAATCTTCAACTTGGAAAACATGAATTATTTGCCTATTTAAATCAACATTGATGTTGTGATTTTAACGGGAAAAGATGGGCTTCTGGCCCCGAGTTCACAAAGCATACTTAAGTACAAATCTATGCTCAATTTTGAGAATTTTCTCAAATCGAAAATTCTCAAAATGAATGGAGTTCACAAAACAATTTGAGAACATTTTTGTTCTCAAAGTTGAGAAAGTTATTTGAGAAAGCTGCTAAGCGTACTTAAGTCTAAAGTAGAATGGCCGCCGTACGACGATTTAGACGCTTGAGACGACGCCAACTCCCTAGGCCTCGAGTCTTCTATGAAAGGGATGACCCCTTAAACCGTTTGGAGGATGACGAGCTTTTTGAACGTTTTCGGTTTAGTCGGGGGTCTATCCTTTTCATAGAAGAAGAGGTAAGGGAAAGTATAAAATCCCCCACAAGGGGAAGTTGTGCTATTTTGCCTAAGGTGCAAGTATTGATTTGCCTGAGGTTTTTGGCAACGGGTGCTTTCCATTTATTGGTTGCGGACACTCTGAGAGTGTCCCGCCCCACAACCTTCCGATGCATCCGGAGGGTTTGTTCTGCCATCATTCGGAATCTGGTGCATTTTATAAAGTTTCCCGTCGGAGAAGATGCTAAGCGTGTTATGGAAGGGTTCAGAAAAATTGCACGTACGTACACTGTGTTTACCATTTATCTTTTTCGAATCCCCGGTTGTACGTGGCAAGGACCCCTACGCGCAAGCGAATTATGTAAATAAAATTAAACCATATGTTAGTCCTGAAATGACCTAGTTTGTGTCGAGTGGACGTTAAACCCCATTTCTCTCTCTCTCTCACCATTTATCTTGTGCCCCATTCACGTCTCCGCCGCAATTATATAATAACCCACAATCTAAAAATATCATCACCGACAAGTCCATTGCTAAATCACCCAACTTACCCTCGTCTGTAGTGAACTGGACTGTAAATACCACAGCGCCACTAAACGAAGGCCTTCATTGGCGGTGACATAACTGACCGAGAGGCTTGTTTATCGATGTTTTATTTCCGATGTTGACACCGCTGAATTTTACGATAAGTGTTTTGATAAATCTAATACACAATGACACATACATTGGAGAAAAGAAAGACATCCAGGCAGAAGGTTTAGGGATACTTGGAACAGCATCAGACTGGCAGATGACAGCAGACATACATCAACGCATGAGTTTCCCAGCAGAAATAGCAGCAACATCGCTAAGACCAGATATAGTCATTTGGTCACAGGGAACTAGGCAGGCGGTCTTGCTGGAACTGACAGTCCCACGGGAAGACAGAATAGAGGAAGCTTATGAAAGAAAGATGGCAAAATACCAGCAGCTAGTAGAGGATTGCAAACAGCGGGGATGGAGGACGTGGTGTTTGGCAATAGAAGTCGGATGCAGGGGCTTTGCAGGACAGTCAATGTGGCGGGCACTTAGGACCTTGGGAGTAGTAGGAGCAGAGAGGAAGAAACTGATTACAGAAGTGTGTAGAGAAGCAGAAGTGGCATCACAGTGGATTTGGAGGAAAAGAGACGAAGTGTGGAAAAGTACAAAGTGTTAGGACAATGAACATTTATTGTGTAGATAATGGACAGATTTAGATATACAGAACAGCATTCAGTTACAGAAGAACAGCAATGACATCAGCTGAGACATCGGAGCCGAGTAGGCCATACAGTTCCAGGTTCAGATTGATCACCTGAGCCGGCGCACCTCTGGAGGTTGTTGTGGATTAGCGCCGAAACAGCCAAGGAAGGAGGACCCCACCTGATGATGGAATTGGATTAGCATTCCTTTGATGTTTACAAGGTAATCAACTTCTGGAAACCCAGTGACCACCAGGAAAGTCTGGTTGACGACTGTGAAGAGAACAGTGGCAACCTGGAGAGACAGGAGGCAGCCAGGAGAGACTGGTAACCGGGGCATGAGGCTTGGCAAGTCAAAGTGCATCTCCTGTGAAGGGGAACCCATTTTACACGCTATGGAACGATATATACTAAGACACCCTCGGGGCTGTGCGAGAGCGAGGGAGGATGAACAGCCCATAGGACAGGACCAGGAAACGACTATGGAACCGACAAGGACAACGAACCAGAACAACGGATGTAAATGTTTTTGTGGTAAAGTCTGTAAGAATTCTAGAGGTTTGAAGATCCATCAAAGTAAAATGAAATGTGTGCAACCCCATTCTGGCAATCAACGCACAGAGAGATCTGGTCAGACGGAGGAGGAGACCATCCAGGAAGCAAACCACAGTGATGATAGCCTCCCTGTGACCCAGGGTGAGGATGAGCACGAGGAACAGCCTACAGAGGTAGAACAACTTGACGAGGCAGAAGAGATAGAGAGGATAGAACCAACAGTCCATAGAGAAGACGGGATAGAAACAACAGTCCGTAAAGAAGACGGGATAGAACCAACAACCCGTAGAGAAGAGAATGAGCCACGCAAAGAGAAGATCAAATGGCCAACGAATGCAGACAAAGCAGCTTGGAAAGCGCTTGACGAAGATTTGGAAAACATCTTAGAGGCAACATTAGCAGGCAGTGTAGACAGAAAGATAACAGCAATGACGTCCATTATTTACAGCGTAGGAAAGGACAGATTTGGAGTGGTACCACAAGGGAAACAACCAACAAAACTAGGCCATAGTAACCGGAGACAGAAGAAGATCAAGGAATTGAGAGGAGACCTGAGAAGGTTAAAGAAGAGGTACAAAGTCGCCAATGAGAATGAAAGGTTACCATTACAGCAGTTAAGAAAGGAAACTAGGGAGAAACTTAAAACACTTAACAGAGCAGAAACGCATAGAAGAGATAGAAAGAAAAAGGCAAAGGAGAGAACAACATTTACAGCAAACCCATTTCAGTATATGAAGCGATTATTTGGAGCGAGAGGATCTGGCAAACTGGAAAACTCGAGGGAAGAAGTGGAAGAACATCTCAGGAAGACCCACAGTGATGAGAGACGAGGAGAAGATCTGGAAGAATGTGAGAAATTGTTAACACCAGAGGAGCCAAAAGAACAGTTTGATGAGTCAGACCTGAAGTTCCAAGAAGTGCAGGACGTAGTGAGAAAGGCAAGAGCAGGGTCAGCACCAGGACCAAATGGTATTTCATATAGGGTATATAAGAACTGTCCCAGACTGATCAGAAGGTTGTGGAAGCTATTAAAAGTAATTTGGAGAAGGAGAAAGATGACAGAGTCATGGTACAAGGCAGAAGGATGTTTTATACCAAAAGAAGAGAACTCCAGGAAAGTTGAACAGTTTAGAACCATCTCCCTATTGAACATTGAGGGGAAGATATTCCTGGCATTTTTAGCAAGGAGAACAACGAGGTACCTGCTTGGCAACGAATATATAGACATCGCAGTCCAGAAAGGAGGCATGCCTGAAGTATCTGGTTGCATCGAACACACTAGCGTTATTACACAGATTTTAAGAGAAGCAAAGGAGAAGAAAAGTGACTTAGCAGTGTTTTGGCTAGATCTGGCTAATGCTTATGGGTCCATACCTCACAAACTAGTAGACCTGACATTGGAGAGGTATCATGTTCCACCAACTATCAGAACTATGCTCCGAGAGTATTTTGACAAGATTGAAATGAGGTTCACAGCTGGAGACTTCACCACAGCTTGGCAGAGACTTGAGGTTGGAATACTAACGGGGTGTACAGTATCAGTAGTCCTGTTTGCAGCAGCAATGAACTTGATTGTAAAATCAGTAGAAAAACCAAGTAGAGGACCATTATTGTCATCAGGGGTCAGGCAACCACCAGTAAGAGCTTTTATGGATGATATGACAGTGACAGCAAAAACAGTCATAGAGGGAAGATGGACTTTAGAGGAATTGGAAAGGATGATTAAGTGGGCCAGGATGAAGTTCAAACCAAGTAAATCTAGAAGTTTGATAGTGAGGAAAGGCAAAGTGCAAGATGAGACATTTGAGTTAGCAGGTGAAAAGATACCAACAGTTGGAGAGAAACCAGTGAAATGCCTAGGTAAAAAGTTTGATGCAACACTAGCAGATATGGTAAACATGGGTGAAGTTCAAGTGCAATTGGTAGAATGGCTGACGAAGATAGACAAAAGTGGGCTCCCAGGAAGATATAAGGCCTGGATATATCAACATGGGGTCTTACCAAGGATATTGTGGCCACTACTAGTTTACGAGTTCCCATTGTCCAAAGTTGAGGCCTTAGAGAGAAAGATCAGTGCATGCCTAAGAAGATGGTTGGGTGTGCCAAGAAGTTTCAGCAGCATTGGATTGTACAGCACAGGAACAAAGCTACAATTACCAATGAAGGCATTGACAGAAGAGTATAAAGTTACAAAGACAAGACAGGTTATGACGTTGAGAGACAGCAAAGATGCTAAAGTGAGAGGAGCCAAAGTAAAGATCAGGACAGGAAGAAAATGGAAAGCAGAGGAAGCAGTTAAGGAAGCTGAGACTAGGCTAAAGCACAGTGTCATCGTTGGTGTAACAGCAGTTGGTAGACAGGGATTTGGTATGACAACAAAACCAAGGTGGGATACAGCAAATGAGAAGGGACGGAGGGAACTGGTGCAACAGGAAATACGACAGATGGAAGAAGAGAGTAGGAATGTTAAGGCAGTAGGAATGAAACAGCAGGGTAGTTGGTTGAACTGGCAAGGAGCGAGAAGCAGGGCTTTGACCTGGAGCGAGATTTGGAGTATGGAGGGATACAGATTGAGTTTTCTACTAAGATCAGTGTATGATGTTTTACCAAGCCCATCAAACCTCTATACCTGGGGGTTGATAGAAGACCCAACGTGCACCTTATGCAAAGACAAACCAGCATCTCTACAGCATGTGTTGTCAGCATGCCCAGTCGCATTGAAAGATGGAAGATATACATGGAGGCACGACAGTGTATTGAAAACAATAGCAGCAAAGTTGGATACCACCAGGAGAAAGAAGAGAAAGATGCAGAAGAACATCACATTTGTAAATTTTGTGAGGGCTGGAGAAAAGAAAGACATCCAGGCAGAAGGTTTAGGGATACTTGGAACAGCATCAGACTGGCAGATGACAGCAGACATACATCAACGCATGAGTTTCCCAGCAGAAATAGCAGCAACATCGCTAAGACCAGATATAGTCCTTTGGTCACAGGGAACTAGGCAGGCGGTCTTGCTGGAACTGACAGTCCCATGGGAAGACAGAATAGAGGAAGCTTATGAAAGAAAGATGGCAAAATACCAGCAGCTAGTAGAGGATTGCAAACAGCGGGGATGGAGGACGTGGTGTTTGGCAATAGAAGTCGGATGCAGGGGCTTTGCAGGACAGTCAATGTGGCGGGCACTTAGGACCTTGGGAGTAGTAGGAGCAGAGAGGAAGAAACTGATTACAGAAGTGTGTAGAGAAGCAGAAGTGGCATCACAGTGGATTTGGAGGAAAAGAGACGAAGTGTGGAAAAGTACAAAGTGTTAGAACAATGAACATTTATTGTGTAGATAATGGACAGATTTAGATATACAGAACAGCATTCAGTTACAGAAGAACAGCAATGACATCAGCTGAGACATCGGAGCCGTGTAGGCCATCCAGTTCCAGGTTCAGATTGATCACCTGAGCCGGCGCACCTCTGGAGGTTGTTGTGGATTAGCGCCGAAACAGCCAAGGAAGGAGGACCCCACCTGATGATGGAATTGGATTAGCATTCCTTTGATGTTTACAAGGTAATGTTAAATAGATTGTTACAAAATACAAACTATTATTCGCGTAATCATGACATTTTGTAGATATTACTAATCTAATATTAGAGTCTAGACTAACAATATGAAACTGCAAGTAGAAAATGTTCATATTTGTGCCCTCATCTGTGAACAGTTTATTTTATTTCAAGCAAACCACGACAATCTATTATAAATAATAAAGTGATAACAACAATAATTCAAGTAGGTCTATAACTTTGTTTTTCAGGATTCCCGAAAGTACTTGGCTGTGTAGACGGAACTCAAATTAAAATTGCCACACCTAATGAAAATGAAAACGATTTTGTAAACAGAAAAGGAGTGCATGCCCTCGGACCGGGGAGTAACATAGGCCAGGTGGCGTTAGTCTACCACTTCCGGTTTCGGAGTTTTTAGCGAAGCCGGGCATTCTGCTAGTATAGAAATAAATGCTAATGATTTTAGAAATAGTATTGATCGTAACCACTTGTTACTCAAGTATTGGCCTCATTTCTCCAGTTTTTAATTATATCATTAAATGGTCAAACTATTCTAATCTAGTATAGAATTGAATCCATCTTTTGGCATCAAGAGTTGATTATGGTCTTGTCATGTTAATGTATTTATATGTAGCATTTAATGCTCAAGTATGAACATGTTATCGAAAGCAGATTGTGTAAGCGACGATATGTACCCTCAAGTTCGCGACCTGACAGGACAATCGTTCGCTGGCCATGTTATGATGTAGTAATTGATGTGTGTTATTTTTTTTTTTAAAAAGGGGAGAATACTCTTGTCCTGTAGCCTTGGATCATGATGTAAACGCAGAATGACTCAAAATAGACACATCTGTTGGAAACAGATGCCAAAATATTATTGAAATAAAATTGAACCATGTGTTAGTCCTGAAATGACCTAGTTTGTGTCGAATGGACGTTAAATCCCATCTCTCTCTCTCTCACTGTCAGACAAAGCTTGCTAACTGTACATTAAACACGTATAGAACAAACAATATAGTACATGCAGTGGAGCAGAAATGGGCAGGACAAAATGAAATGAAATGAAATGAGGTTTAAAGTCCTGCTGGTCTGCTCCAGCTGGGCTAGAAGACGTGCATACGCCATACAGTGTACTATAAGGGAAATTTTGCCCGGGCTGTGACATTAAGGCCTACTCTTATATCAATGGATCTTTTACGTCCACGCTAATGTATGCATGGAACCTCGGTTTTCCGTCCCATCCGAATAACTAGACAGCTTGTCCTGCACCACTGACAAAGGGAAACAACGTAGAAAAATCGCGATGAAATAGTCAGGACGATTTACCCAATATCAACCAATACTAATTATTTGTTAAGTCAATTTATTGTTTTGTACATTCAGAGATAAATACGTAAAAAAATATTTTGAATAAATGTATAAATAAATAAATATCCACATTAAATACAATATATAGCACTAATTGGAAATGATAAATACGCATATTAACAAATTTAATAAATCTTATGTAACATATTGTTCAGATTATTCAATACGATTAGTCTTCTTGGCTTTTTAATACAATTAATTCCGAATGAGTGTTCATTATGCTCTATCTAAATGTCCAATTTTGAAGACAACCTTCTCAATGTTAGTGCTGATAACCGATTCTTCTTTCTGTGTGGTTTAAATAAAGGACCCCTTCGAGCTGTAGTTGACAAACAAGATTCCCTCCCTTTAACTGTATTTTGAAATATATTTCGTGGTGATTTGATCTCTGGAAATGAACTTAAACTGTGTCTACGTTTCTGTGTTATTTTAGGTTTAATGTCGATTTCTTCGTAATCATTTTCATCATCATCATCTTTAGTTAAAACTTCATTTTTATGAACATTCAGCCCGTTATCGTTATAATCGTAGTCTTGATTATCACTACTACTATCAGAATCAGAACCAACGCTTTCATAAAACCCACTGCTATCATCACCTGACATTGTGTCGGATTTTATCGGAGATTCCCGAGGAAGATTCGGAAGCGGTCGGTTTGCTGCATAATATGCGTGTGACAGCCTTCTTTCTTTTTGATAGAAGGGATTGGTGCCGAGTTCGTATATTTCAGGTATTGTAGCAGCTTTATCAGAGTCAACGCAAGCGCAGAACTGCTCAAGTTTACGTCTACACACAGGAAAAATTTGTTCTTTGCAGCCGAATTCGTCCTCCATTCTTTTTGTCAGGCTCGTTATTTCTCTTATTATTTCATATGATGCGTCGTTTTTACTGTCGTCAATTTCTTCGTAGAAGTGATCATCAATGTTAATACTTTTAGGGCAGGTAATGACTGTTTCTATTGTAAAATAAACTGGACAACCAGATACTTTCTGTTTAACCTGAGTTATCTCCTCGTCATATTTCAGTCTGTCACTAACCGGGTCTGATCGTCTTCGACACCGTTTTTTAATCCAGCTCAACATCTTTGAATTCATCTAAAACAAAACAGAAAAACAATGACAAATGCAGGCCTCTTAAGTAATTGAAAAACACATTCTCGGGAACAACATATTTTAATTTGAGCGTTTGAATGTATTTAATACAAAATGATACATCCTGAAAATGTACCCCCTTACATGATATTCTAAATGTTTTTTTAAAATTTATTATAGTTGACTTATATAAGTATGTCATTACTTACCATGTACACAGAATATGTTATATAGTTGAGTTAGATCAATGAATTTTAAGAACCGGTTCCTATTATGTATTATTGTTCCTGGTATATTGTTGAATTCAGAAGCAAATCGAGTAATGTACAGATCAACTCGCGAGTTCTTTTTATATATGTTGTACTTGATTACTAACACGCGCAGATTTAATCCAACCGTGTGAACGGCCATTTTCGTTAATCAATGATACGTGTATATTAACAAAAATATATTTTCTAGGTTGATAAAATCACACCGTCTGCAAGTCTAAATATCTTTTATAAGATTTAATTATTTTATAAAAACACACTTTATGGACCAATCACTTCCCTCAATTATCTGCACACCGCCATAATCTTATCGTCTACCAGTCTTTAAAGCCCATATCAGAGTAATGACGGATTAGTGAACAGACTTCACCCCAATAATATCAACTGGGATTAATCCAGTTATTAACAGACCTTGTACAGATTGACTGAACTGCAGTTACCAAAATCAGACGTACCCGTATTTGGCGTATAGTTGGGTAATGATTAGGGTATAATATTCACCTAATATCTTTACCGCCATTAGAGTTTAACACCAGACGTAGTTGTGATTGGCGTATAGTAGGGTAATGATTAATGTATAATATACAGCTAATATCTTTACCGCCATTATATTTTAACACCAGACGTATTTAATATTGTTGAATAGTATACGTTCCTATGATAGATATTTACAAAACCTAATACACCGTAAAGATTTTAACTTGTTTTTATTATGACAAAGAGAGAATTGACCAGCCCTCTCTTCTCACGACAGCGATTTTATAAGCGTGTTTTAAGGTGACTTTTTGATTTACAAGGACGTTTTTTTATTTTTGTGTTTTTACCAATTTTCAGCCCTATAAGTGTAAATAATTTAACTAAATCATCTTGGTCCATAATATCATATCTAATGTATTGGACGTTAAATCTGTAATAAACAACAACAAGATGGTTTTGACGTATATTGTCGGCACCCCTGTCCTTCCGTCAACAATTGCTCTAGCAATACAGGTTAGAATTTTTGTCATAAAATTTTCCAATTTTCATTGTTATATAACATTTTATTGCAGAGGTATCCCCCCCCCCCCCTATCATTCCGAAAGGAACATTTAGCTTAGCTTTAACACGATAGAGGCTAGAGATTTTAAAGAATTCCTTTCAAACTTGGCATGAAGCATAGGCACCACATCAAGATCACCCTTATCGTTTTTTTCAGCGTTTACTAATTTTCTGTTTTGTAGATGCTGTCCTTGTCACTCTGGCATCACAATGTCTCGTTAACGCGATAGATGCTAGAGTTTTTGACGCGAAGCACTGAGTTGGAGAGAAGACGCAACATATCAATTTCCAGCGTCCCGCGACAAGATGTTCCTGAGTTATCCCCCTTTTTACGAAAATTGTTCACGTGATACAGTTTATAGCATGTTTTTTCTCAGATATTGGTTGAAGCATTGTGGTCATTAGAGAACGAGCACTGTCGATAATCAGCGCTCTGCGACTTTCTTTTGCTGTGTCGAAAACCTTGTGAACGCTATAGTTATTGACGGATTTTTTTCAATTTCCAGCGCCCCCCGACAAGTTGTTCATGAGTCATCCCCGTTTTACGAAAACCTTGGTCACGTGATACAGTTTATAGCATTTTTGTTTTCATAAAATGGTCAGCGTCATAATGCGTTAGCCAGCGTTGCTTCCACGAACCCAAATGAAAGTAACCAAATAACAGCTAACAATATCTGAAATGAAATGAAATGGGTTTAACGTCCTACTGTTCTGCTCCTAACCTGGGCTAATGAAGACGGGCATACGCCATACAGTGTGCTATGAGGGAAATTTTGCCCGGACAGCGGCGCTACGACCTACTCTTATATCAAATTCCAACTGCCAAGGGATCTTTTACGTGCACGCAAATGTGTACATGGGACCTCGGTTTTTTGTCCCATCCGAACGACTTGACAGCTGTCCTTGTCAGGCCCTCCGTCCTGCATCACTGACAGAGGAAACCACGCCGGAAAATCTGGATGAACTTTCTCGGCCAATGCAGGGATCGATAGCAACAATATCTAAACTACGCCACATAATGAATATACCGTCCATTGATAAATGTTTTATTTATTTTGTTATGTTCGTTCAATCGACATCATTGTTGTTTTTACTCTTTGCATTGGCGTTCATTGTTTTATGATATATCAGTGAAATATGTTTTATAACTTATTGAATTATGTTATTTTTATGGTTATCCTTATTCATTTCCGACCTGGATCAGTGAGTAAAACGCGAGATCAGTAACTATGAGGTCCCAAGTTCAACCCAATTGTTGACCGAGAAAATTGTTTTGGGGATTTGTCAGCTTGTCGACATAAACTAAGTCAATTGGGTTCTAACATACAGTTCAATTTTATTTGAATAATACGCGTGTGCATATTTATCTTTATCGGCTGGGGGAAACTGGGGGACCCGGAGAAAACTTACGAGGTTGGACAGTCAAGGGTTGGGGACATTTGTGTGGAACTTTTCACCACAAGATTTCCACAAGATATTGGATTTAGAAAAAAGATCTATAGTTAAAAAAAATTCTTCTCAGACCTCCCTATATTCCTGTCTGGAACCACATTTCAAGTGGAGTGACCCCAAACAAATTGCAAAAGAAACCACTGCACC